ATTTGCCTCTGCAAACATATCATGACAGATCCAAGTAATTACTCAGAAATGCTGTATCTAAATACATCATTCAGGTGTCACATGGGAAAAATCATCAAGCTTTGTGCTTCACCGCATCAAAATCCATCTAATGTTGCTTACCTGATGGCAGTTGAGCCAAAATGAAAAACAAAGTGAAGACAAAGTAAAACATCACCCTGCGTGAGGCCATCTCTGAGGGGTGATTTTTTCAGAACAGCTTTACAGGATTTCTTTCTCAGAACAGGAACCCTTTTTATATTTGAAAGTAATGGGACATGCACTTGGTTAGTGAAGTGAATCAATACAGAAGGCGCAGTTCTATGGTCCATTTCCCAAGACCAAAAGCTGCTACCACATGAATAATCTTGGCACTGAATCGTCTTCCATTTTAGGAGTCGGAGTGTCTGCAGGGACAAGACGACAGCGATCAAGAAGGTGGAGGCCAGGAGGCAAGAAGAGTTCAGCTAGAGTAATTCAGGAATGAGTGCTCAGTTACTGCTCCATCATTCTGAGGAATTATTATTGGGAAAAACCTGAAGCAACGCATATACTATGCCAGCACTCCAGGTGGTAGTCAGGATCCAGATGGACTTGGTGCCAGTGTTTGCATCCTGATGAGGCTCTGGGAGAGACTGGCTTCTGTGTGCTTACTTTCCTCGCTTTTGGGTTTATGGTCTGTAAATATGACAGGAGGAAGAGAGGGGAGTGCTCATTGTCCTCAGCTAACCCTGAATCTCTGCTTATGGAACACGACACCATACACTTGAGTCATACATACATCTTTTTAAGTCTGCAAAACCGGAGTATGGAAAGTAACATTTGTATCATTGTCCATTTTCCCAGTAAGTAACACTAATCGCCATTCAGGTACCTATGCTTATGGAATGATTCATGCTTTATGTAGAGTTGAGAAAACAGAAAAGAGAGAAAATGTAGACAGTAAAGTCAGAGAGAATTACCAAGCATGGGATCTAGACCAGGACACCTGACTTTTCCAAACTCAGGGTCTTCATCATCAGTGAGTCTTCCATGCGAATGCTTCACAGGCACTTAGAGCATGGAGGTTTACAAGGTATATAAGTTGCTTATCAGAGTCCCTGGTTTTGTCACTGCTGCCTTCACAGTCATGTTTTTTTCTGCATGCATTTGAGACAACTTTTCTGTAAACTCTTTTTGCAAGTCCAGTAACTCATAATTAAACTTTCCTGTCCTGGAAAAGGCAGTGTCATTATTTCTGTGCTGTGCTTGTTGTGATTCACAAGCATTTCAGCTTCAGAAACTAAGCTAGTAAATGTGCACATGGAAGTCAGAGCACTTTCAGTCTTCAGACTGTGTGTGTGTGTGAATGCAGGTGTGTGTGTGTGTGTGTTTGTGTGTGTGTGTGTGTGTGTGTGTGTGTTACTCAGACTTGACCCCACAGATTTTACACTAAGCCACAGCCAAGTTGTTTTCAAATTTCTGATTCCAAGGCAGTGCTCTGGTAAAGGGCTCAGGCTGCCCTGGAATCCTCAATGCCTGCTTTCCTCTCCCAGGGTGCTGGGAGCACAGGTGCATGGCCCCAGGCCATACACATCTCTAATGACTGGGCTTGGGAATGGCTTTGTGGGCAGATGAGAAAAGCACAAAGTCCCACCCACTCATTGGGGGCTTAATGCTCTCAAGTCACTGTGTGACAATTCTCAGTAATTTTGCCTTTGAGGTTTCAATTTCTGAAGGAACAGTGCAGCAGGCAGTGGGAGTTTCAGTCTCAGCTCACAGGTATTGGGCCTTCCTTTGGCTCCTCAGCTGACTAGTAGAGTTCCTAGCCACTTGTGCTGTGCTCTCAGTGCACTTGGCCTCACCTGGCCTCCTCTTTCTGCACCTGTCCATGAGCTGCCTGGGCCACAGGGGTTTGAATGATTATGCCTGAGGTTGCAGTTAAGATCCTGAGCCCTGGGTGTTTGGATAAAAGGCTGTGGTCATGAGCCTCTTCCTAGGCCAACATACTGTGGCACAGACTGGCAGCCTGGCAGCAGCAAGCTTCTCAACAGCTTCAAAGTTAGCCTGGCTGCATCCCCGCTCAGAGGCCACAGTGGCCTTAAGAGTTGCTCAGTCACTGTTCAAAGACACCTGGCTTGACTCCAGCTGGGGCAGAGTGTGCAGGCTCAGCACCCGACTGGAGGACAAAACAGTATTCCTTGGGACATACATAGAGCAAGGACATTCTGGTTATCCCAGGGGGACACTTGTCTCTCAAGGGGCCTTGTATCCTAGATGGTATAACAGTCAACAGTAAAGTTACTACTGCACACCACAAAGTCCAAGTACATGTCTTGGCAATCCTGCATTTTTGTTTTGCATGAAGCCCACTAAATTACATAGCTGCTCTTGATTTGGAGTTAACTTCCAGTCTTAGGAAAAGAAGATGGTGTTTGATCTCCTTAAGGACATTCCCAAGAAGCCTGAACCCCATGTGATGTAGGTATGGACCCAAGGTGGCCTCTGAGGTGTGTAATTCATTACTTCACAGTTCCCTCTCCAAATCCAAAGTCTTACATCTCCACGTAGTCTATATACAGGTGAAGCAGGCCAGTGTTCATGTACTGAGCACCTCTCTGCATTGCATTCCCCACAGAACCACACCCAGAGTTCCCTAGCCAAGTATTTGACAAACTGTGCAGCTACAAGACCCCAAAACATTCAACTTCTCTGAAGCCTCTGACCCAGAGTCCCAATCTTGCTGTTCAGCAGTAACATTTCGACACAGGAGCCCTTGTTTTCTTCATGGTGGACTCAAGACACTGTCTCCAGGTAGTGTAGTCTTCCAGGAAGGGCAGCCCCTTTCCTGAAATCCTGGTCATTTTTCCATAAAGTCTAATGTGTTGCTGTGTCTTTACCCTGCGCCTTCTTCATTCGCTCCTTCTGGAAAGCAGCATCACACTTATGTGTACAGGATCCACTCAGAAACACGGGTCTTCTGCCTCCATACTGTGAGCTGGAGTGTCCTCTGGGAGCAGTTCAGGAAGCCACAGCTTGCTCAGGGGAGCTTTTTGTGTATTTGTGATAACTCAGGCTTGGTGTTACAAAGATCAAATTTGAAAAAAGCGCCACGTGAAAGCAAGAACTTAGGTATTTCCACTGCCTCGAGAACACTCATTTTTTTCCATGGGTCTCATTTAAAAATCTCCTATGTTTACAACCTTAATTTGCTGGCAAATCAGATGCATTCTGCCAGAAAAAAAAATAGATGCGCTAAATGAACCAATGGGGCAGTATCTAACCCAAAATGTTAGGAAATTTATCATTTCTGATGCAATGAAATCTTTTTAGATAAGGTTTGTGAAGTCGTTTTTGGAGTACATACTTTCCACGTGTCATTCTCACCTTGGCTATTCATATGTAATCAATGTGCACAGAAGACCCACAGAGGCAAGGAATACGTGGAGGCACTCGCTAATGCTTTCTTTTCATAACAGTTATTTTGTAATGATTTTGGATATACAGAAAAGTTAGAAAGATTGTTCCCCGTTCTCTCATACCTTTCCCCAAGGTTTTCACTGTGTTAACATCTTTGGTAATCATTTCCATCCTTCAGCATCATGAAGCCCACAGGAGGTCATTGCCACTAATTAAATATGGAATTCTAGTGCACTCACCTCTTCACAGGATTGTATGGCGGGAGGGGGTGTTGGGATTCAGGGGAAGGAAACCACTGACACGAAGTACCCTCATCATATCCAGCACTTTGGTGTATGCAGCAGCTCAACAAGAAATTCACTGGAAATGTGGACCTAAGGGGGTCTAAAAGACTTCTCCACATTTTATCTTGCTTGCTCTTCCTGTATTCTGTTCTTAGAAGGCCAGTCCTTTTCATTTACACTGCTTGGAATTCCTCCAGTAAGTGATTTTTTCCTTTCCATTTACCTTCTTGTTCAATCCTTGGTATGATCTGGGACATAAAGAAGTGAAATAATGATCTCATTTGGGTTGCATAGGAAAACCAAGATTTTGGTACAATGAGAACCTTTTCCATCTTTCAGGGTTTAATATTTTATCAGATGCTTTTGAGGTCTCTCAACTTGTAAGAGCAGAGTGATGAGGAAGTCTGCTTCACTCTCCTATTTCATATTGTCTTAAAGAAATAAGTATCATCCTCCATCTTGCAAAGGGGAAGATTGCAAGTGGGTAGTTCAGGCCTTTCTCCAGCCCCACATGATTTATTTAACCCAAGTAATAAAGGGACTTCACAGAGTGGGTGGAAGTCAGTAACCCAGCGCTGCTTTTCTGCATGAAGAATGATGTCTTGCCTTAAAGATGGTGTTTTTTGCCCGGGATTTTCAAAGATATATGAGTTTTGACACATATTTTAACAAAAAACTACACACACACACACACAATCTTAGTTCACATCCAATAAGTTTCAATCTCTCTGGAACTGAATGGGACTGCGCCTACCATTTAAGGCTGGCAGCATACAGCAAGAGCCCCATTTTCTTAACAGAATGAAGCAGATTCTTGGGTCAATCCCTTTGCCAAGTGCATACAGCTCTCAAGTTGAGTCTGTACTCCAGACTCCCTCTGATCCCGGCACCAGCTATTCAGTGAAGCAGTACCCTACCGTGTAACTACCGTCCTGCTCTACACAAGGAGACTGGGGCCACTGAGGAGCAGCCAGCAATGGGACAACAAGAATCTCCAGGGCCCAGACCCTTGTTCTTCTCTCACAGTCTTGTATACTCTGTCCTCCATGTGTAGCCTACTCTGCTCTCTCATTATCTCCATTTTCCCTTAAGGAACTTTCCAGATTTAGAAAAGAGAGGAGTTGCAAACTGACACCCACTGAAGTTTATGAGCTCTAGGTGGCCGAGTGTGGAAACATTTTCATTCCTGCCAAGCCTCACTGATCAAGATGCCGTTCCGTGTGCAGAAATGTATAAATGTGGGTGTCAGCTGCCCTTTCCTCATGGACAGTGTGCTGATTGCCCAGGACTCTTCAAGCCATGAAGACGTTCTTCTTTCTCTGTGCTGTTCTTTTGTTTCTGGCTCCAGGTAAAATGAGCCTCTGTGTAGGGAAGGAGGTCAGAAGTAGTAGCCCAGATTGGGAGTCTCCCCTGGTGAATTCTGGGACATGGTGACCCCCAAAGGCAAGAGTGCCATTGGTCAGGAGACCCTGCAGGGAACATTTGCTGGAGAAGGGCACTTTTCTGCAAAGCATCTTACTGAATGCTTTGCACTTGCCGTTATTATCTAGGAAAGACAGTGTCGGATTTGAATAAAGGAAGGGATACCGTGGGAGATATCATGTGCTGTCTGGTCTCATGCTCACAAAAGCAAAACAAGAAAATAGAGCATCAATTAGAAACAAAGGGAAAACTTTTACAATGTAGAAGTTGTGTGGATCTTTTCAAATATGATTACAAGCCAGATGTGGTGCTCCATGTCTGGAATCCCAGCAGTCCTGAACATCGAGGCAAGAGGATCACAGGTTCAGTTCCACTAGGGAAAATCCGTGGGACACTGCTTCACTATGAATAATGAAAATCCTTACAGTATCAAGAGGACAGACAAGCACAAACCCTGCAGTGGGAGCCAGAGTCCTCCCAACTTTGGAATAATCTGAGATTTATTCTTTGAGCAGGTGCTGGTGCTAGATAAGATGGCATAGATGGCGCTCAGCCATCTGATTACAACTTTCACATAAGTGTGAATTAGGTACTACATACATATTGACATGTGTAGGACACTGTCCTCTGTGTAGGATATCTCAATTGCAGGTATCTCGATCAGGCTGGTTTAAAGTGCTGACCCTGAGTGGCTATTTGTTCTTAACTGGAAATGGGCAGCTGTTAGGGTTGGTGGTAATGATAAGGCATTAAAGCTGGAACTGCAATTCTCTGCAGCCTCCCTGTGCCTGTCCTGCAGAGCCTGCTTCCTCCACTCAGTGTGCTGCTGTTGCAGAAGTCGAAGTGATTCTTTCTAGCAGCCTCTCCACTTCCTGTATCCTGCAGCAAATGTTTTTCTGTCAAGCTATCCCTTATAACTGGAGTCCCGAGCCATTTCCTGTCCCAGTCCATGAGCCACTCTCACCCAATAGCTATCCTGCAAAGAATAGTGAGGAGGCTCTTGACGTGTTTGTATGAATTCTTTTTATTGGCACACATTTGCAGCTCACAATAATGACATTTTTTGTGTAGAGTTGGTAATGTACCACCACATCTTAATTCCTCTTCTTGTCCTACTCCCCTCCCATTTTATGCAGCTCTTCATCCTCTTCCCATTTCAGAAAGCTCTATCTCCCTGCTTCCTCTTATCTCTTTTATTGGGCTCTTCATTTATAATTTGGGTTTCTTATATAAGAGAAACCATTAAATAGTTAACTCTGTGTGTCTGATTGACTTCACTTGATATTATTGTCTCAAGGTACATCCATTTTCCTACTTACTGTCTCATGTTTCTCTTTCTTTATGGCAGAGTGCTACTCAGTTCAGTGTAAGTATCACATGCCCTTTAAACCTTGATTTGTGAATAAACATACAGACCATTGCCAAGAATTAGCTATAATGAATGTGCAACTATCAGCATGGGTATGCATGTATCACTGTACTATGATGTCTTTAACTATTTGGGGATGATCACTATAAGGTGATAGTTGGGTCAAATGCAATGTCTAGTTATATTGGAGGAGTCTGTACTGATTTCCATAGTAGTTGTATTAGTTTACATTGTCATCAATAGTAGAGAAGCTTTTCTCTTTCCATGTAGTTTTGTAAGCATTTGTCATAGTTTGATTCCTTGAAGTTACTTTGATATTGTTTTCATTTGCAATCTTTAATGACAAGTGATAATGAGCATTTCTTCATGTATTTATTCCCCATTTGTTCTTTTTTTAAAAGATAATCCTTCTTTTTCATATATATATTGGGGATTGAACTCATGATCTGGCATTTACCAGACAAGCTCTTGAGCCACTGACCAAATCCCAGGCCCCATTTGTACTTCTGTGAAGCAGCTTTGCATTTCACTTGCCCGTTTTTTGATTGAGTCTCTTACTTTGGAGGTTCCAACCTTTTGAGTTTTTCTATGCCTTAGCTATTCGTCATTTTCCTGTGGAGTAGCTGGCAGAAAAGTTTCCCTGCTCTGTAGATTTTTTTTCTCATTCTTTGGCTGTTTTTCCTGGGATGCAGAAGCTCTTGCATTTGCTGCAGAACCATTTGTGGATTCTTAGTGCTACGCCCTGTGCCCGGGGTTCTGCTCAGAAAGCTCTGCCTGTGCTCATGACTTCAAAGGTTTTCACAGCCCTGCAGATTTGGATAATAGAGTACTAACGTTTGTTCCTGAAGTTCTGCACAGACTAGTTAAAAATGCTCAAAAAATAGTCAATTCTTCCTGGGCTTTCACACGATGTAACAACCGCAGCAGCAAAGAGAAATTAGAAATACCACAGAGGAAAACATTTCCCACATCTCACCTCTGATAGGGTTAGGCACTATGGTAGCTTGTAAAAAAGCTTCACTGCCATCTTTCAACTGTGCTAGCTGGTAAGCAAACATGTCTGCCAAAGAATAATGCAGTTGGCTCTTCCCTTCTGCAGCCAAGAACGAGTTTTTTGATGACAAATGCCAAAAGCTTAAAGGAAGATGCAAGAGATCCTGTGACAAGACTGAAGAACTTGTTGCTTTTTGCCAGAAGTTTCTAAAATGCTGCCAGACACTCCATCCCTGTGTGTTGTCTGGAGACCACAATTGAAGTGTTCACTGAAGTCTTCAGGTGCTGAGGAGAGGAACACAGGTGGCCCGGCTCTCCTCTGTGCTCTGCTGTAAGCAGATGCTTCAATAAAAACCAATGACGTGTTCAATCAGTTTGTCACTTGCTTTGTTTAGAACAGGAAACTGTCTAACTAAATCTGAAGAGCTGAACCTCCTGCTCTATTATTCTGTCACATTCTGATGAGACAGCTGTCCCAACAGTAATTAAATTTCTCTCTGAAGGAAGACTATGAGGTAGGATCAAAAAGAAAACTTCTAACTTTCTCACAGGCAGTTGATGTCAACCTATTCAGGGGTGTGTGTGTGTGTGTGTGTGTGTGTGTGTGTGTGTGTGTGTGTATGTGTTTGTGTGTGTAGAAAGTAGAGGGATGGATATATATACTATAAAAACAATGGGGAAAAGTATAAGAGAACTCTGCACAATCTTTCAAACTTTTCTGTAAATCCAAAAACATCACAAAGTAACTTCTAAAAAAAAAAAAGCATTAGCGAGTGCCTCCATGTATTTGTTGCCTCTGTTAAAGTTCTGTGCACATTGATTACACATTATGAATAGTATAGGTAAGAGTGACATGTCGAAAGTATGCACTCCAGCAAAATCTTTCCAAACCTTATCTAAAAAGATTTCATTGCATCAGAAATGATAATTTTCCTAACACTTTTGGTTATATACTGCCTCATTGGTCTCATTTTTCATATCTGTTTTTTACTGGCAGAATGCATCTGATTTCCCAACAAACTAAGGATGTAAGCATAAGACATTTTTAAATGAGACACATGAGGAAAATGAGTATTCTCCAGGCAGTGAAAATACCTAAGTTCCTGCTTTCACGTTTTCAGATTTGATCTTTGTAACACCAAGCCTGAGTTATCACAAATACACAAAAAGCTCCCCTGAGCAAGCTGTGGCTTTCTGAACTGTTCCCAGAGGATCCTCCAGCTCACAGTGTGGAGGCAGTAGGACCCGTGTTTCTGAGTGGATCCTGTACACATAAGTGTGGTGCTGCTTTCCAGAAGGAGAGAATGAAGAAAGCGCAGGGCAGAGACACAGCAACACATTAGACTTTATGGAAAAATGACCAGGATTTCAGGAAAGGGGCTGCCCTTCCTGGAAGACTACACTACCTGGAGACAGTGTCTTGAGTCCACCATGAAGAAGACAAGGGCTCCTGTGTCGAAATGTTACTGCTGAACAGCAAAATTGGGACTCTGGGTCAGAGGCTTCAGAGAAGTTGAGTGTTTTGGGGTCTTGTAGCTGCACAGTTTGTGTAATACTTGGCTAGGGAACTCTGGGTGTGGTTCTGTGGGGAATGCAATGCAGAGAGGTGCTAAGTACATAAACACTGGCCTGCTTCACCTGTATATAGACTACGTAGAGATGTAAGACTTTGGATTTGGAGAGGGAACTGTGAAGTAATGAATTACACATCTCAGAGGCCACCTTGGGTCCATACCTACATCACATGGGGTTCAGGCTTCTTGGGAATGTCCTTAAGGAGATCAAACACCATCTTCTTTTCCTAAGACTGGAAGTTAACTCCAAATCAAGAGCAGCTATGTAATTTAGTGGGCTTCATGCAAAACAAAAATGCAGGATTGCCAAGATATGTACTTGGACTTCGTGGTGTGCAGTAGTAACTTTACTGTTGACTGTTATACCATCTAGGATACAAGGCCCTTTGAGAGACAAGTGTCCCCCTGGGATAACCAGAATGTCCTTGCTCTATGTATGTCCCACGGAATACTGTTTTGTCCTCCAGTTGGGTGCTGAGCCTGCACGCTCTGCCCCAGCTGGAGTCAAGTCAGGTGTCTTTGAACAGTGACTGAGCAACTCTTAAGGACACTGTGGCCTCTGAGCGAGGATGCAGCCAGGCTAACTTTGAAGCTGTTGAGAAGCTTGCTGCTGCCAGGCTGCCAGTCTGTGCCACAGTATGTTGGCCTAGGAAGAGGTTCATGACCACAGCCTTTTATCCAAACACCCAGGGCTCAGGATCTTAACTGCAACCTCAGGCACAATCATTCAAACCCCTGTGGCCCAGGCAGCTCATGGACAGGTGCAGAAAGAGGAGGCCAGGTGAGGCCAAGTGCACTGAGAGCACAGCACAAGTGGCTAGGAACTCTGCTAGTCAGCTGAGGAGCCAAAGGAAGGCCAAATACCTGTGAGCTGAGACTGAAACTCCCACTGCCTGCTGCACTGTTCCTTCAGAAATTGAAACCTCAAAGGCAAAATTACTGAGAATTGTCACACAGTGACTTGAGAGCATTAAGCCCCCAATGAGTGGGTGGGACTTTGTGCTTTTCTCATCTGCCCACAAAGCCATTCCCAAGCCCAGTCATTAGAGATGTGTATGGCCTGGGGCCATGCACCTGTGCTCCCAGCACCCTGGGAGAGGAAAGCAGGCATTGAGGATTCCAGGGCAGCCTGAGCCCTTTACCAGAGCACTGCCTTGGAATCAGAAATTTGAAAACAACTTGGCTGTGGCTTAGTGTAAAATCTGTGGGGTCAAGTCTGAGTAACACACACACACACACACACACACACACACACACACACACAATCTGAAGACTGAAAGTGCTCTGACTTCCATGTGCACATTTACTAGCTTAGTTTCTGAAGCTGAAATGCTTGTGAATCACAACAAGCACACCACAGAAATAACGACACTGCCTTTTCCAGTACTGGAAAGTTTAATTATGAGTTACTGGACTTGCAAAAAGCGTTTACAGAAAGGTTATCTCAAATGCATGCAGAAAGAAACATGACTGTAATGGCAGCAGTGACACAACAGGGACTCTGCTAAGCAACTTATATACCTTGTAAACCTCCATGCTCTAAGTGCCTGTGAAGCATTCGCATGGGAGACTCACTGATGATGAAGACCCTGAGTTTGGAAAAGTCAGCTGTCCTGTTCTAGATCCCATGCTTGGCAATTCTCTCTGACTTTACTGTCTACATTTTCTCTCTTTTCTGTTTTCTCAACTCTACATAAAGCACGAATCATTCCATAAGCATAGGTACCAGAGTGGGGATTAGTGTCGGGAGCCGAGCCAGAGGACCTGCCTAAGCAGATGAGGCCTGTAGGAAAGAGCGAAGCCTTCAGTAGATTACCCCTCCCATCGAATGATGCCAAGATGGCGCCCGTTTCCTACTTCCGTATTCTTACCCTCAGCTTCTGCCTAGTTACAGCTGATGTCCCCCAATCAGACTTTGCCACGCCTTGTTACCCTATAGGACAGGACTATAGATATAAGGACAGAGCAGGAGGTAGAGAGGAAGAGAAGACACGCAGACCATAGAGAGTGGAGGACTACGCGGGGTTACTCAACAGAGAGAGCCCCACTGGAGAGTCCGATCAGGGAGGAACGTTCCGGGGACGACCTGTGTGGAGAGTCAATAAACGCGACCTCTGTCTCTGCATTCTGGTGTGTCGTGTGAGTCAGTTCCCCTGCCGGTCGGGGGTTCAGAGGCCGCGCGGCGCATTTTGGTGGCCCGTACGGGGAGCTGATCACCCCCGTACTGCAGAGACAGACCGCTTTTGGCTTACCACACGGCAGCGGTCGTCGGCCAGGTAAGTTGGGAGTACGCCTGGGCCCTGGGTGGCGCGCACCTACAGGGCAAGTTTCTTAACTCTCCTGGTGTACATACGCCAGGTATCGAGGTGAGCAGATCTTAGCCACCCGAGGGTATCTTTTGATAGAATATGGGCCAATTACCGAGCAAAGAGGCTGGGGATTTAGCCAAGGCCCTTAAGAGACTGTTAAAAACAAAAGATCTTGGGGTAAGTCGTGCCACTCTCGAGCTGTTTATTGCCGAGATTGACCGGATAGCCCCGTGGTTCCTACCCACGGGACGTTTGACTTTGCCTTCATGGGAGAGGTTGGGGGGGGATCTGGCCTCTGCCGAGCTCGGCGGGGACTTATCCCCTTCCGTTCGCCCCTTGTGGGAGATGATACATACCTGCTTAGAGAAGGAAAACGAGGGTTTCCCGCCCGCTGTCCATGGTGCAGGTATCGAAGAGGTGAGAGAAGCCTTCGAACGGGCGAAAGCTGAAAACTCTAGGGAAGGTTCCCTTCGGGAGGAAGACCCCAGGGGGGAGGAATCGGACTCGTCTGATTCCTATTATGAAGAAGCACAGTCCAGGAAAAGCATCTACGGGGGTCTCCGACGCGAGCTCCGCGCCATCTCAATGGGGGACGCGGAGGGAGAAAAAGAGAAGCCCTCTGCTGACCCCTGCTGGCGACAGGAGAAATTACCTTCGGCCCCACCTTGGGACCCATTTCCGGAGGCGGTGCGCCGTGAGGAACTGTGCCACCAGGGGGCGCAGAGTGAGGTTAGGAGACTGGCGGCTACTATCGGTCCCCGCCCATCGCCACCGTCCTATGCTGAGCCGCCTCGGGGTTCAAGATACTTCCATGGCTCGCTCTGGCGTTCTAAATGGTGGGCGGGACCAAGGATGCCGGAACCAGGGATAGACGTGGGCCCCTATGGAGTGTACCCCATACAAGTTGCCCCAGGCCAGGGTAGGAATGTGTGGGAGCCTTTTGACCTTAAGCAGATAAAAGAGTTGAAAAGCGCGGTCACGACTTTTGGCCCCGAAGCTCCATACACGGTGGCAATACTAGAAAATCTCTGCTCTATTCCCCTTACGCCTGGGGATTGGGCCCAATTGGCTAAGGCCTGCCTTCCAGCTGGCAGCTATCTGGATTGGAGGGCTTGGTATGCTGAGTACGCAGCAGAACAGGCAGAGAGGAATGCTGCCGGGGGTCATAGGGGATGGAGCAGAGACATGTTAACGGGGGAGGGGCAATATGCTGAAGATCAAACGCAGTACCCCAGTGCAGTCTACGAGCAGATCAATACTATTGGAATGCGAGCCTGGAAACAGGTAAGCGGCTCTGGGACCGCATCCGCATGCCTCTCTAAGGTAGTTCAAGGCACCGCAGAACCATTTGTAGATTTTGTGGCTAGAATGCAAGATG